AATAACAATTTTCTGCTGTTTTCATTGGTTCAGCCCTAAATGACATGTCTTCCAAATATTTGAGAAGTTACGGACAGGTTTTATCATTATCCTAGCTTCTGAAATCTTGCGCGTTAGGTGATGATTGGGAAAAATGACTCAAGTATGAAAACTGTCGTTCCTTTACAAACCCAAAGTTTCCGGAACTTATTTTTTGTTTGATTTGTTTAAAAAGGAACCTACCTACATAATTATTACCTAGTTTTGATCACCTGACTCATTTTAACTCTAAAAAATAACCAGAAACAACAAGTTTAAAACTAGGGGCTTAACTGTGATGTAAGGCATTAAGCGAGTGGTTCCCGGGGTCTAATCAGGACCAACGGGGCGGTTTTGGAATGCCCAGAGCATGGGTCATCTCGTTCTTTATGAACTAACCGTCGGTCTTATAATTTTTAGGCCATGGGCCACCCTAACCTTTAGGTCATATATCTATAGATATGTTTGGGAACCATGCGCATTGCAGTAAAAAAGAGCGCTTGATTTCGAAGCTGACGTTTTGAAGGGTCCAGATTGCTTGGATTCCAAGTCAGATTCCCTGGAAAACAAGCTAGAGATCTTGAATAACAAGCAAAACGTTGCTTTTTACGCTGCTAAATAGTCACTGCCTGATTTTACTCAAACTGCTTAGAACGCAAGCTCCTAATTTTTAAACGTCACATACCGTATGGGAGGGTGGGGCACTTAGTGAGAGGGGCACATAGTGACAAGTCGCTGCCCTGGCTCTCCTGTTGACTGTTTACACCAGCCTCGGTGCAAAGAACAAGGTTTTTGACCTCTAGAAAAATATACCACAAGCCGGTTGAACTGGATTCAATGTGCTTGCATGAAGGAGAATGTAAACTTTGACTTTCTCAATTTTGACGACATTTTCAACTTTTTCTCTTTGTTTTTCCCACTAATACGAAGCGAGTATCAGCTTCATACTGTTTATTAATACAACCGTTAAAATTGGTGTGCGTATATCAGAAATATCCTTTTAGACCGTGAAAGTTACAAATATTTGTTTTACCGACTGTCAGGGGCACTAAGTGACAAATGCAGGGCTTGCTTTCCACCCAATTCTAATGATCTTCAAATTTTTATTGCAGGCAACCAATGGTCTATTTACCTCGGCAAAGGTTCAAAGAAGCTATACAAGCTTTTACGTACTAAATTGAGCCCCCGAAAAGAGAATAAAGCCCAAATTCCAAAAAGTGTCACTTCGTGCCCCACCCTCCCTTACTGGTAACGTTTGAAGAGGCCCGCTTCGTTAATACTTTGTGAGTTTATGACGATTAGTTTCCACTCTTCAGTTGAATCAGTCTCGTAAACTATCATGATCTCTCTACGTAGAAGAGACGAGTAACGGGTGATCGAAGAAACACTCGGGTGTGAGCCAGACGCGATCAGAATTTTAGCGAGCAGCCACATCCTTGCTCGCATTGGAATTCGTTCTTTTTTTTACTTGTAAATGTTAACTTGTTATCTTTGTTGGACAGGTTTCGGGGATTTGGCAGTATCAACAGGCATGCTTGCCTACAGGCTTTAAAATCTTGGTTCAGTTTCCTGCAGATGTTACTAAACCTGCGAAAGATTGACTAGGATCACTAATAAATTTCTACTCACATAAATTGTGCATTTCTTATTAAAGCATTTAGCTTTTGCATTTGGGAGCCGATAGGGGCAAATTTTACTTTTTGGACTTTTCTTCCAGAAGAGCGCCATGTTAAATTTGAAGGCTCAGGGAAACCTTTTTCCCTTGGCCGAAAAAATCATTATGGAAGTAGAACACTGTATGTACTAACCCACTCAAAATCCGTTGCGCGAATACTAAATGTTATCCGAACGAGGTGCGGTTTCTTGCATTCACTTAAAAAAAAAATCCAGCTTGAATTTTACCGACCCGACGTGGCAACGCACCTGAACACACTGCGGGCTGGGAATTTACATGCCCACATGGTCTGCAAATTCTCGGCGTAAACACCTGCGAAGTTACCAGCCCAGTGGGCAGGGAAAGTAGTCATTACAAGTCGAAAATATAAATTCACTACATGGGCTGGAAAGGAGCCTTTCCTGGCCACCAAACCTCAAAGAAATACATTTCGCGACCAAATAAGAAAAATAAATTGAAGTCTCATTCTCGGTCTCATTTCATTTCAGAGAAAATACAAAGTATAATATTTGTTACCTTTGCATTAACTTCATCACTGGTCCCATGTAGGGATTGTACGGTAGGCAATTTTGAAGACAAAATGAACCATGAAGAAAAGCTGAAGGGCTACAATTAGGGGCACAGGTTTTTCCCAAAGAATGACATTGCCCACGATAACATGTGCCAGAGTTTCTCCTGAAAAGTAGCTGCTACCTGTTAACAGAAAATTAGGGATTCAGCATACGTGGTTAACTAATTATATATCAAAGCCAGCGAGACAGTGCATGTAAAACATTTACCTAGGACTGCAATTCTGGGATAGTCAGTCTCAGGTAAGTTGGAGTCCTGAATTTCAATCACATTAGCTGTATCCTGAATAAAATTGATTAGATCAAAATGCGACCAATGCACCAAATTGGAATAACATTAATGAAATAGTAGTCACTTACGTCGAAGTTTACGAAGATATCTTGCTTATGGAGATAAAGAAGGCAAATGAGGCACAGAATTAGAGCTACAAGATCAAAGCGTTCATTGGTTTGCTGGTTTTCATGGTCAGCTTTCAGAACATGAGGAATCTTTTCGGGTATCTTTGGAACCTCCCTTCCTACGCTTTGTATATAGATAGTCAAAGTAAATAATAAATTTTAGCATTGCAGCCTCCAGGTTTCTCTTAACCTCAGAACTGTCAATACTCACCAAAGAGAAAAAAAGTTCAAGCAGAACATCAATCTGGAAATAAAAATGCATAATAATTATTAGGATTAAATTTGATTCTAATAATACAAATTGTTTAGCAGAAACCTCTTAACGTACCTGTCCAATAAAAGGCAGTGCTTCTTAAACGAACCGTTAAGGGTCGTTTCTACCCGACAGCGTGTCGCAGGGGGGGAGAGGGGTACGGGGGCGAGGTTTGAGTAACAGCCCAACAATGAACCCATTGCTCTCTGAGTAGTCGGTTCCCGGCGCGCGCTGCCCAGCGCCCACGCTAAAAATAGTGTTCAATTTTAAAACACAGTGCAGAAAGATATCGCGTCAAAAAACCGCATCAGCTACATTCGATACATCAACCAAAAGCGACTACATTTTCTTAACCGTGGGTTCGTTTAGTAGTTAACACATTTAAGGTCAGAAACTCAGATTCTAGCGGTGGAAATATCTTCTGCCGCTGCTGGTGGTGGTGGGATAATA